AAAATTAAAAACTGTTTGCGTCTATAGCAGCCCTCAAGGATACCGGCCCACCGGGAAGTTTCCCGGTATCCCGATGGGCCAATCCGGCCCTGTTGTCAAGTTGAAATGATAATAAATGTTTAGATTTATTTTAATTTTAAGTGTTTGTGTTTATTATAAGTATAATATTATTTTTATTGTATGGGTTCATGTATACATTTTATTACTATGTTTAGATTGTCCAATGTATTAATCTATCTTTATATTAATTGTATTAATAAAAGAAAATCATTGTGATATAATTGATTTATAAATTATCATAATTTATTATTTTTTTTTTTTTTTTAATAGCACTGTAGTTCCTTGGAAATTATTTCGTAGTGCTCTTCATGACGTACATCCAATTGTGAGTGGATTAGAAGCTATGGCTCTCAAATCAACAATAGATTTAACATGCAATGATTACATATCAAATTTTGAGTTTGACGTTTTTACCAGGTAAATTAATGGATTAGTTATTCTACAAATTATTTTCATATATTTTTTTAAATTTACAACTGATACATTTTTTTATTGTTTAGATTGTTTCAACCTTGGCCAACTTTACTAAGAAATTGGAAGATATTAGCTGTTACGCATCCAGGATATGTTGCATTTTTAACATATGATGAAGTTAAAGCTCGTTTAGAAAAGTTTATCACTCGACCAGGGAGGTTTGTAATTTTATGTGTATCACACAATTGAATACTTTTAATTGATTTTATGTACAAATAAACCTGATTAATCTGATTGTTAAATTTTAATGTAATACTTAAAACTTATAATAAGATAAAATAACACAATATAAATAGTATAGATTAATACTTAAATAAATWAATAATGTAATGTAATTGGGTTTTAATGTTTCACACTTTACCGAGTATCAGTATTCATCTCCAGAATTATTGGTTATTGATTTTAGTTACAATATATCAAATAAATTGTTTTAAGATAATGTTTATATTTRAAATTTTCTCTTACAGACTATCTTGAATCAATGGCCTATTGATTCCAATATTTTTAGAAATAAAAAGAATAAAACAAGTTAGATTTATCAGTTGCTTAGTTTTTAATTTGAATAAAAATACTACATACAATAATTGGTCATTGATATTATTRAAATCAGTACACAATTTTATGATATTAAATTAGTGTAAAATAATTATTTGTATTTTATACATTTATTGTTGAAATTATTATTGTACCTCTTATTTAATAGTTATTAATTATTATATTGGTTTGTTATTAGTTATGTATTCCGTCTAAGCTGCACACGACTTGGACAGTGGGCTATTGGTTACGTGACAACAGAGGGTGAAATATTACAGACCATTCCTCAAAATAAATCCTTATGTCAAGCATTATTAGATGGTGCTCGTGAAGGATTGTAAGTAGATTTTCATAAAAGAAAAAAAATATGTTTTTAATTATTTACAGGGTAAATTGCATTTGGTGTTATCAGCTTATATATTATATATGTCAGGACAGTAAAATTTTACTCAGTTTCATAATTTAAAATTTTTAAATATTATTTGTATGATATTTTTAAAAAGATTATCAGTAGTTTTTCATCAAAAATTAAAATGTTAATTTAGTTCTGTTAAAAATATAGGAACTAAATTATTACTGTTTTGATAAATATAATGTAAAATACTGTTCAGTAACTATGATTACTTATTAATGATTATAGTTTTAAAAGTTTTCTTATGTTATCTTTGAAAATTATTCTCATTTTTRCATAGTTGCTATGCATATCTCTAAAGTACAGCTGTCTCCATTTAAACTATAAAGTATTTGTATTTTTATTACTATGTTGTGACTGAATTCTTTTTAGGACTTTTATTGCTGTATTGTTAAAATTAGAGTTTGTAAGTAAACTGATTATTAACCACTATTTTGATTTTTTCAGTTATCTCTATCCAGATGGACAAAAAGGAAACCCAGATCTGTCAAATGCTGTGGAACAAAGTCCAGAAAATCATATTAGAGTTACTCATGAGCAGTACGAAATGTACTGTGAAATGGGATCTACTTTTCAGATATGTAAAATATGCACAGAAAACGACAAGGACGTTCGCATTGAGCCATGTGGTCATCTTTTGTGCACACCATGTTTGAACTCTTGGATGGTATGTCAGCTTGTACAGTGTTTTATACTTATGTTCAGTGAATTTCCATTAATGTGTTATTTTGGTTATATAAAATAATGATTGTATTATTTTGTTTCTTTCTATCAGGAGTCTGATGGCCAAGGTTGCCCTTATTGTCGGGCTGAGATAAAGGGTACAGAACATGTTGTAGTAGACCCATTTGATCCAAAAAGAGTCAAATATAAAACCGTTCCCATCATGCCTATTGTAGTGCAACATTCTGATGATGAAGAAGATGGCGAAGATGAAGAGGAGGTGGTAAAATAACACACAATGTCGTCGTCGTCGGCGACATTTTTCCAGCAAGGAAAGTATAATAGTTATAAATAATAGTTAAAGAAAAAAGTTGTTGAGACAATTTTACTGTGATATCGTATTGTAGACATTTTTTAATTTGTCTGCATTAAATATTTCGTTTTAAATATGACGTAACAAAATTCCCATTGGCGATATGTATTGTCAATAAGGCGTATTTTTTCGTATGTGATAACTGTTATGTTAAATATATTATTCAAATAAAATGTGATAGAAAATAAGAAGAGTAACATATATATATATATATACATATAAATTATATTTTTTAATTAATTTAATGACAGTAGGAGATAATGCAATTGAGTATAGTGATTACATTTTAAGATAAAATATGATTGTGTGTTTTTATATTATATATTACAATATTTATATATTTGTCCTATAGTATTTTTTGAACCCTATGATTTGAAATCAATGTCCATACCAATTTATTTATTTGTTTGTTATTTTTATTATCTGCTACAATATGATTTATATATTTAATTTAAATGTATTGTATGGATTTGTTATATGGTAATGGTTCTCTTTAAAAATTATAAGAATTAAAGTGATTTCTGAAGTAAAGASAGCGATACTAACATATTTTTATTTTTTCAGCATAAAGATACTATTTAAAAAAAAWATATAAATTGTAATTTTTCATAAACGATATAGATATTTAAAAATATGGCTGTATAATGTGACAATCATACTTTGACTGTATTATTTGCTTATATTGATTTCATTATTTCTGGAAAGTAAATAGTAATTATTACATTCGTAACAGATCTAGTTTAAAACAATTATAAATACTTAGTGTTTTGCTTGATAAGATTTTTAATCATTGGGTTCATGGTGGATTTATATAATGATTGTACTATTATTATTCTTTGGTTTTATGTTTAGAAGTTGATTTCTAGTCTCCAAGCAATCTAGTCTAATTAAGAATTTGTATTTTTCATTTTTCCTATCTGTGTATATATAGGTATAATAAGTATATATAATATATATACATATCTCTTAATTCTAAAACATTAAACCTTATAACATTTCTGTGTAGTGATATTTTCTATTTTTTTTTATTACATATACTTGTATGTATTTGTAATTTATATTATACTATTGTCTTATTATTGTTTGAGTGTTTGATTATTTTCTTAATTATCTACCGCAATTTGGTTAGAATCAATACACACTTTTCTGATAATGTGGTGATATTATATAAAATGTTTAGTARTTATATGTCTTGTGATCAATATTTTCTTTATCTACATTATTTTTAATAAAGTTAATCAAAATCTTTTTACGTATCATTTTGTTATAAGAAATGTCAACTAATATTTCTATAACAATCATGTATCTTACTCTACTGTACACTGTAACCAATATTTTCATGGTTTTTTTTAACATGTTAAATTTTATTTTTATTTATATTATTTACTCATATTGTATACTACATGACAAATGTTTCTACTTTGACCAAATGTTCATCTTATTGTATTAACATACACCCGTATATAATATTAATGTTCTGTTTACATTTTAAACTATAGCAATGCTGTACATTAAAAATACTGTGTAATATTTATCATTTAGATTTTAAACACTTATAAAAGCAATAAGATGTATGGAAATTATTATTAACTCTATTTATTTACAAACAAACTAAAGTAACCTTTATTTTAGGGGCCTTAAATATTATTTTATAATGTTACGAATACAGGGTAATGTAGTCTACAAGAATTAATTTATAGAAATGAATTCCAATATTATTATTATTATTATTATTATTATTATTATTATTAGTCATAGAACAATTTGTTAATTATTATATTTTTTTTATTGCCCATGGAGGCCAATTGACAATTATTTTATTTTTATTGTTTTTCAAGAAAAAACATGTGTGATTTCATATTGTAATGATCTTTGAGCTTGAGTAAAATAAGTAAAATAAATCTATGTATGTCAAAATAAATCACATAATTTGTATAAGGTGTAAATTATAAGCAATACGTAAATATAAAATGTATTTTAGTATTTATTTATTTTATTCATATTCACTTTAGTTTGTACTGCTATCGTATTTTTGTAACATATTATATATATTTTTTTATTTGTAAATAAACCAAATAGCTAATTATTATATGTACAATTATTATTATAAAATATGGCGATTTCATAATCATTGTATTGTGTTTTGAATTAATCTACTCAATATACATCCTCATCCTATCTATAGCAGTGCATAAAACAAAATA